AAAAAGTAAATAACTGCTGTAAACATAGTTACTATTACTATTTTAAAATAATTACATATATATAATCTTAAAATGATAATAATATATATATTTATATCTTTATATATTTAAGATTAGTAATAATTCTTTATTATTTGATTATAAATAGTTTTAATTTCAAAATATTTAGATATAATATTTGAATAATTATTATAAAAAATTAATTTGATTTTAGTTGATTTGATTATTAATAATAGATACTTAGTATTTAACTTATTTTTTTATATAATTTTTGATTTTATATAAAATATTTCTTTAATTTTACTAGTAACTATTTTTATTTTTTCTTTAAGAATTCATTTAATATTATTAGCATATTTAAATAATTATATAATTTTATGTAATTTTCTAAATTTATATTTATTTTTTTCTTTTTTTGATAATAGTAAAATTCAAGAAAGTAAATTAATATTTAAAATAGATTCTATCAGATTTATATTTAATTATAAAGTTATATTTATATAAGATAATTATTTAATATATTAATTATTTAGAAAAATTTGATTTATTGATTAATTATTTTAGTATTAAATAATTAGTAATTAAGATGAATAAAATATCTAATAGCAAATATAATCTAAATAATTTAACTATTCAAATTATTTTAAAATATTCTAATTTAGTAATATATATTTACTTTTTTTTTATTAATTCTTTTATTAATATATATTTTTTTTCTTTATTATCATATTATACTAGTATAATATCTAATCTTAATTTAAATATATTTGTAAAGAGAGGAATAGTTTTGTAAAGTCTGAATAAATAATAATTAATAATAATATCAAATACTTTTTAAATAATTCAAAGACTTTTTGCTATTTTTCTATCTATCTGAATTCTTTATTTTTTTTTTGAATAATTTATAAAGTAGAACTGTTATTTTGGTAAAGTCTTTATGAATTTTTAATAATAAGAGACTAAATTTACAAATTCTCTTAGAAAAGTAATATTAGTTAATATTAGAAATTTCTATACTTTTTTTATTTTTGCTAGATCAGAATAAATACTATTTTTTTCAATTATATATCCAAAAAAAGATAACTGATTTTTACTAAACTTATATTTTTCAGGTTAAAGCTTGAGACTAACTTATTAAAGTTTATTTAGTACTTTTTGTAAATAAATCAAATGCTTATCCTAAGTTTCAGAATATATAATAATATTATCCAGGTATATAACTATGAATTTACTAATATATTTCTTAAATATTTTATTTATTAGTCTTTGAAAAATAGTAAGAGCATTGATAAATTCAAATAGTATAATATTAAAGTGAAATAGTTCTTTATTTGTGATAAAAAATATATTTCAGATAACTTCTTTTATTTTAAATAATAAGTAAAGTATAATACAAAATTGACTATATCTATCCATTCAAAATAATATTAGTAATCACCTAATAAAATATATAATAACAAATTAAAATTATCTTTTTTAATATAAATAAATTACTAAGTGGATTATCTAATAGCATTAGTAATATCAATGAATATTAAATAACGAATGATTCTATCGCGATTTGTTATAAAACGTATGATTATAAACCGTAATAATTTATGGCGAATCATACGAAAACAATAATCACGCGAATTATTATTGTTATCTATTACATGACGGTTTTTTAACATCGAAATTAACAAAAGTTCTGCCCGATGCAGATGTTGTTTACATTTGACGAATATACATAGAAAAAGAATGATGAGATCCAAATGACGCAATTTTTCCCATTGGTTACATATATATATAAAAAATTCATTTATTTATTTATTTTTTATACAGATTGTTACAGATTTGTGCCATGTGCACTTTGTGGAGGCGTCGCAAAAGTGCTTTAATCTTCTAGAAACATCATATATATAATATATATATAAGACGTAACACGTATGTTTACAAAGTAGTCTTCAAACAAAAATGTCTTCAAACAATAATCAAGAACAGCAAAGAAATTCTGGTAGTGCTTTTAGTCGTTTTTCATTTCTCTTTCCTTTCAGTTATATGTTTGGAGGACGAAACGACAGAAATAATAACAGTAATAACAGTAACAACACCAACAGCGATAATAATAATAATAATAATAATAATAATAATACAACGCAAAATTCAAATGGCACAAACACTCAAGGCTCTACAAATAACAATACACGGAATAATGTGAATATTAACATAACTATTCATCCAATATCTCCTGACATGCAATTCCCTAATTTCCCGTTTCCACTACCACAGCAAAATACCAATTCAAATACCAATTCCAATACCGATGACACACTCAATAATGGCACAGGAAACCTTCATTTCTTGTTTTATCAGATGCCAGGACAAAATGGAGAACCGACAATGTTCTTCTTTACACCGTTACAGGTATTTCCAGAAGAACAACAAAAACCTCGCGCTTCAGAAAAGGCGATGAATAATTTGCCAATTGTTGAAATAACTCAGAAACACATCGATGAAAAGTCTTTTTGTCCAATTTGTTTGGATACTTTTGTTAAACAAAAAGAAAAACAAAATGAACAAAATGACGAGAAAAATGAAGGAAATGTAGTTCGTGAAATGCCTTGTAAACATTTATTTTGCGAGTCCTGTCTGTTTGAATGGTTACGACAAAGTAATACTTGTCCATTATGTCGATTTGAAATTGAGTCACAAGACGCTTCGACGACAACACCAAATGTAAATATCCAAGAACCATCTCAATCACAAACATCACCTTCATCAGAAACAACACCACCATCACAAACCCCTTCTTCATCACAAACCCTGCAAACCCCCCCTCCATCACAAACACCGTCATCGCCACAAGCACAAGAGACACCTTCACAACCTCAAACTCGCGAAAACAATGTGAACTCCTCGATACCGACATCCTCATCAAGACAATCACAACCTCGAACGAGATACGCGCAGCATCGACACCCTTATTATTCAAATTCACACACTAATTATCGCCATTCAAACCAATTAACGAGCTGCTTACTCGAGAGAGTCGGGTGTTGTTCAGAAAGTGATTTTGATCAGCAACAACAACAACATACACCAATAATAACTCTACCCCAATGTCATCATCGTTTCCATGCTTCTTGTCTACGGACATCTTTACTGGTGGAAGGATACTCGTTGGACACCACATCATCGTTGTCATTTCGATGTCCTTCTTGTCGTGCTCCTGCTAATTTACTGAGTGATCTTCTGAAAATTAGAACTACGCAACAAAATAATGATGAAAACAACAGCAGCATCAGCGGCAGCGGTAGCAACGACAATAATAACAATAATCAAGTTGGTGCTGGTGGTATAAATTATCCATTGACAATACGGCTAGACTATATGGATTTGGATTAATTCAAAGATATCACTTAAATTTATAATTTATGTGTATGATAATTGTAAGACTTATAGACATTTGGACATTTATCCATTCATGGACATTATCGTTATCCATCTTTGGACATTTATCCATCCTTGGACATTTATCCATTCTTGGACATTTATCCATCCTTGAACATTTATCCATTATATCTAATTGTACAAATTAGCATTTAACGCATTTTTATAAAAGGTATTGAAGAATCTTTAACTTGTTATGTACAAAATATTTTGTATATTAGCATTAGAAAGATTTTTTCTGCCCAATAAAATTTAATATGAAAACAAATTTCATGACATTTGATTCAAAAATGAAATTTATTCATCAATGTGTGAGAAATATGGTATATGAAAAAAATGCAATAAAAAGATATAATGTTCCAATAAAAATCTCTAGAGCACTAAAATAATATGATATATCCAAACGTTAGTTTATACATTCGTTTTATTTTGAAAATAATAATCTATCAAGACCCTGGATTGGTTGTCGTCGTCGTAGTATTGCTAAGACCAGTAAAATCACACCATCCATTCACTGGCAAACAACTCAAATATTTGCACCACGGACACTTCTGCGCCGGATCCCCAGAATAAAAATTTGTAATTAACACCGCAAAACATAATATGGCGATCGGTAAGGCGACTATTCTAAGGAACAGTGTTGCACGTTTTTGCAGTTTCGAAGCGTCAATAATGCCCGGTATTAGGATAAGGCTGGTTATTATGCCCATAACAAATCCACCGATGTGTGAAAAGTTGTCGAGTCCCGGTAGAAGACCGAGTAGAAATGTGATGCCGACCATTAATAATAATTTTGTCAGCTCCCAACATGGGTTTACAATATCCTTCCAATTATGAAATAGTTCAAGCAATAGAAATCCGATTATTCCAAATAATGAGCCTGATGCACCCATTGAAGCTACATATAATTTTTCAAAGGATATAATATGGTAAGTAATTAATAAAAATGATAAATCATAATGAACTCAAATTATTGTATGTTTTATACTTACGAACTGTCGCCTGTGCAAAATTACCACCAAAAATGAAACCAAATATCCCGCTTGCCATATAAATTATACCATAACGAGGAAATCCAATATTTTTTTCAACATACGTTCCCGTCTGAATTTGGAACAGTAAATTGAACAAGATATGAACTATTCCACCATGAATAAATATCGGTAAGATGAATCGATACCATTGATCAGGATCTTTTCCATGAAAACCACCAAACCCACAAATATCATCTAAACTGCAGATTTTAGTTGAGTTATCAGGGCATGCAAATGGAACATTTTCAAGTGATTGGACAACACGCATACATGGCACAAAACGTGCACCCATTAAAATCAAAGTCTAAAAATAATCGAAATATAATCAATTAAAAAAGCTATGAACAAAGATTAAATTAAGCTATCAACTCATTATTACTTACTCCTGCCGAAGGGCCAATCATTGGGTTAAAAGGACTGGTTTGAATAAAACTTCCAGTATTTTTATTATTATTAATGAATTCAAAAATCAACACAATAACTTGTATGATAGAAACTATCCAAGTGAACCATGGTCGCCATGTTCTTGGTTTCCGTGATGGTCTTCTCAAATTTGGATTGTGAGGATCAATCAATGGAATTATACCACTGTTCCTGCCATCAATAGCAGGAGCATTCAGAGGTCTTCGATAAAATTGTTCATTCTCTTCATGAAATAATTGACGCGCATATGCTTCATCCTCTTGTTCTAGCATTTGTTTATCATTGTATTCATTATATGGTGATGTATTGCCGCTATCAGCACTCGGCGGAGATGGAGGACTATGTGCCCTGCTATTATTATCCTCATATGTTCTTTCTTCACCGTCATCATCAAAAGATGATTTTAGATCGGAAGCGGGAGGCGCACTGGGTAATGGGAGATCATAGTTTAGAAGATTATTGTTATGGTTAATCCAATATCCTCCTCCATTGGTTGTGTCTTCTTTACTATCTATAAATGGGTTATTAGGATCAGGATATCCACCACCGCGTTCGACGTCTTGAACTTTTTTCGCGCGCGAATCTAGCGGTATATTATTATTATTATTATTATTATTATTATTATTATTATTATTATTATTATAATTATTATTATTATTATCGTAGTTGTCTCTTAATGGAAAATAAGATAATCTGTGTGAAGACGGATCTGTTGTAAAGGAAGGGTCGGTGGGTGTTGTTCCAGCAACATTATTACTACCATTATTGGAAGTGTCATAAGAGTTGTTTGAGTGAAAATAAGAATTCCAACCAGAATTAGCTCGAGCCATCTATCATATATCTATTTTAATTATTTTTTATTATTATAAAAATTAGGGTTATAGGATGTTGATAAGAAAGATACTAACAAAAATGTTTATAGAGCACTTTTTCTGTTATAAATCTAGCATGAAACAAGCTATGTTATATAATGAGCACTGCTATTTTGAAAGTTTAAACCAGTTACTGAAAAAAGGGCGAAAGAGTGACAAAAGTTCAAAATCTCAACGTGGCTTGGATATATAAAAAAAAGGGAAATTTTTAATTTAACCGCTTACTATATATAGTTCTTTTTCCAACTCGTTTTGCCTGCACCTTAATATTTGAAGTAATATGTATGTGCATACAAACATGCACAACGCATTGATTTAATTTTTATCTCAAACTCCGATAACGATTGACGTTAGGACAATGTTTATAAATAAAAATTACGCCGTTTTAATTGATAAGGTTAGTTGATTTGTCCAGTATATTTTCAACTTTACGTTATTATTTAATTTTAAATAGCATAGGGATTAAATAAATAACCCTAAACTTTTTCTTGATCCTTCCTAATTTTAATTAAAAATAGATGGTGTGACACAATACTAAAATAAATTTTTTGATAGTTCAAACTTTATTTGATTGAGTTAATTCTTAATTATTACCAATGAAACTTGATGTCAAGAAATTCTTAATTCTTTTATTTCTCAAATCTTTCAATAAACAAATTTTTTATTAAAATTTTTAAAGATTTATTTATTTATTTTTTCTTGAAGA